ATTTAGGAAAGGAATAGATTCATCATTAACTATAAGTTTACACGATGGAAGAATTATAAATCTTGAAGATAGTCATTTAAGAACTATAGAAGGAAATTTAGCATATCAAAAGTTAATATTTACTTGTTACCCAAAATATTGTGTTTCATTAAAAGATAAAAACTTTAATGAAATTTTAGGATTACATTTCAAATTACATAGAAATGATATAATAGAACTAGGAGACCAAATTATGACTATGGAATATAGGGCATTATATACATTTACTAATTCTAATTATGAGAATATTTATTCTAATAAACCATACATAGAAATTCATAATGAATGTAAGGATATTAGTAAAATAGTGGAATCAAACAAACAAATAAATCTTATTCCAAAAGAATATGAACTTAATATCACTAAAAATAAGCCTAAAATAACAGAGTTAAGAGAAGAAGAAGATTATAAAATAACATTTCACAATGAAAGGTAGATAAAGAAATCAAAAAATCTTAGACTACCTAATAAAAAAGAATAGTTGGGAGAAACTAGTGGTATAAAAGAAATAAAACCTCATAGAAATATTGGAAATATGAAAATAGAAGGAAAATATTTCAACGGTAGAAGGTATATAAAATGACCAAATATATTGATAGATACAGGAGTTGGTGAATGTCATATGGCTGCAAATAAAAATGAAGGATTAATGACTTACAAGATAGAACCATATGAACATAGGAATTTTGATGGGCAACTATATATTGCAGAATTAAAGGTAAAGGTATCAATAAAAATAGGTGGGATTGATCTTTTAATACCATGTTATTTGGATGAAAGTATAGATATTGAACCTCATATTATTAGGAATGAGTTTCTTAAATAGATTAGAAGATTATAGTATAAAAAGAGAAGGATTATATATAACTCATAGGACAAACTACATTATGTAAAATAGGAAGTGGATGAATAATCAAATAAATTTTTCATTAGCAGTATATATACAAGTTACTATAGTAAAAACAAATATAACAACTTGTACTTTAATTGATACAGAAAGTGATATAACAATTTTTAAAATTTTTTTAATAAAATCATGGAATAAAAATAGTAAAATAAAAATAACAAGAGTGATTGGAGAAAGCACTCAAATAATTGATAGTGTTGAAAAAGTTAATATAATACTTGGTAGTAAACAAGTTATAATAAATAAAGTATATAATTATAACAACTTAGAATGTGATATATTATTAGAAAATGACTTTATCCAACAATTCCAATACTATAAACAAAATAATTACATGATAATGTTACAAACACCTTGTGCACATCTATTAAAAATACCAAGAGAATTTAGATCCTACAGAGTTCAGCCAGCCCAACTTGGTGATAAATGGGAAAAACGACCAATAGTACAAGAGGCACTAAAAAATAAAAAACTATCATATAAAAAGATTCTAAAAACAGAAATAGAGATAAATATGGAAAAAATCATAGAACAATTAGAAAAAATTTATGGAGAAAACCCATTATTATTTTGGAAACCATATCATCCTGAAGCTAAAATAGAATTAACAGAAAATGTTATAATAAGAGTTAGACCAATAATGCATACCTTACAGGATATGCAAGAATTTAAAATTCAAATAAAAGAATTATTAGAACAAAAGTTAATTAGACCCAGTAATGGACCTCATAGTAGTCCAGCTTTTATAGTTATGAAACATTCTGAGCAGATTAGAGGAAAAGTTAGAATGATAATAAATTATAAGAAATTAAATAAATATACTAAATTTGATGGTTACTTTTTACCAAATAAAGAAGTCCTAATAAATCTTGCAAAAGAAAAATAATATTATTCCAAATTTGATTCTAAATCAGGATTTTGACAAATAAAAATGGAAGAAGATAGTATACAATATACAACATTTAGTACACCTCAAGGAAAATATGAATGGTTAGTTATGACATTTCGTTTAAAAAATGCACCACAAATATTTTAAAGAAAAATGGATAATATATTTAAAAAGTTTAGTGATTTTCTTATTGTTTATATAGATGATATACTAATATGCTTTAATAATAAAAAAGAACATAGGAATCATTTATTACAATTCATAAATGAATGCAAAAAGAAAGGAATTGTGCTTTCTAAAAAGAAATCTATAATTGAGAAACAAGAAATCGATTTTCTGGGATTATCAATAGATAGAAAAAGAATAAAATTACAAACTCATATATCTAAAAAAATAGAAAGCTTTCCAAATGAATTAAAATCCAAAAAATAAATACAAAAATTTTTAGGATGTTTAAATTATGCTGAAAGATTTATTGAAAATCTCTCAAAAAAGAGACATAAGATACAAATTTTACTTAGGAAAACAAATACTAAAGGTTGGAACAAAGAACATACTGAAATTGTTAAATCATTAAAAGAAGAATGTAAAAATTTACCAAAATTAAGGTTACCAGATGAAAAAGATAATATAATTGTTAATACTAATGCCTCGGATAAATATTGGGCAGCTATATTAAAACACATATTTAAATGAAATATGTAGATATTCAAGTGGAACTTTTAACCAAACAGAAATAAATTATACTACTCATGAAAAAGAATTGTTAGCAATTATTAGAGGAATAAAAAAGTTTTCATTATTCCTTTTATCTTAAAAAATTTATTGTTGAAACTGATAATTCTCAAGTTGCAGGTTTATTAGAAATAAGTTACCTATGAAACCTCAATATAGAAGGTTACATAGATGGCAAGCATATTTATCATTTTACAATTTTAATATTATTCATATTAAAGGAATAAACAATTATCTTACAGATTTTTTGAGCAGGAATATCGAATTTGGAGATGGATAATATCAAAAATTCATTAATAGACATCAACAGACGAATGAAATTCCTCATAGAAGAATCAGAAGATATGAAAATTGGAATTGAGTAATTAGAGCAAATGGCAGAATCTATCCAAGAAAATGTCAAATTGTTGGTGGAAATCTCTAATTCTCATTCGAAATATACCAAAGAATTGAATGATAGAATTGTTGATATTACTTCACAATTCGAGTCATTAAATACCAAACATGAAATACCAATTGATACAATCTAAAAAATACAAATAGGTACATAGCCAGGAAGCAGCAGTGGACCCAGCAATATCAAACGAGACATAGCAAGTCCCTGGAAGGTGACTATAAAAAATGGTGATGAACATACAAGAGTTATCAGAATCAAAACTGATGAAAATGATGATACCCCTTTATCATCAAAAGAAGAAGAATATAGATCATTTGCCAAAATTGTTTATGAATTGGAAGAAAATGAATCATATTTTATTGCATCAGGAGATCATGTTTATCCCAGATTAATAATTACCAAAGATGCAGACCCTTTCATGGTCAAAATGGCGGCAGATTATGGATTTCTGGATTTGATCTATCTAGAAAAAGATTTAAAAGAAATTGAAAAATTTGATGATATATTCAGGGCAGAAGTTTCAAAATTTGCCCAGGGGAGATCAATTTATATCAAATTTTATTCAATAAGTCCCGAGGTTGATGGAAGGATATACTATCCTGCTGAACATATTATCACAATTGGATATGTTGGCCGAGATTTTCAGAATGAAGTTGGCCGAAATAATAAACTATTGTCTAAAATTAATAAATCATGGATAAAATCTCGGAGAGTTTTGGGGATGAAAGTTCTTTACAACATTACAAAGAACTTATATGATAAAAAATTCAGATGCTTGCGTCAATATGAAGGATGGACACTCCTTACGAATAATGGAAAAGAAAAATCAACTATTTTGAAAGAATATATCTAGAAATTTGATACTCATCAAATTAATGGAAGTTCTACAACAATCCAAGAATCATGCAGATTGAGGGAGTGCCCCACATGCAGACAAGATTAAAAAGATTGATTCTTCAAGATAAAAGATTAATGGAGATAAATAAAAGGGACCTACCACTACCAAAATATCTAGCCAACTGCATATGGATCCAAAGATGGAGAGGCAATAATAGAGGAAAAGATGCCCCTTTGATAAAAAAGCAAAAAATACATGTGAAAATGTAAACCCCAGAAGGAAAAGAATAAAGAAGCATGTGAGCCTTTTCAAATTCTGATGTATGCAATGATGTAATAGACCAATAATAGTAAGTTTGAGTCATGTATAAATAGAGGTCTTTGGGGAAAGAATAAATCATCTCGAGTTAGAAACCATTCTCTTTCCTTAAAATTTCTTCAAAACCAGTTTTTCTGAAAATTCATTTTATACAATAGAAATCTTGTATAAATCATTATAGAAATAAAATCCCAATCTTTTGATATTAGAAAAATATGAGTTTCTAAACTTCCTATCCCATAGATTCTTAACAGATTGAAAAAGATAATATCTTTCTTACTTTAACAAAAAGAGAATTTTCTTTACTTAAAACCCTTATTCTTAATTCTAAGAAAATATACAATGAGGGCAAGAAGCTGAAATAGCATAATTTCCATTGAGGTAAAAGGCCGTTTGAGGGAGCAGTTGTAGATTCAGAGCCTGAAGGTCACTCGATCCTAAGAATACAAATTTAAGATCAAAAGTAAGGTAAAATTATTGTCTTTGTTAAATTTAGAAAGAATTCTTCTAATATCTTGAAAGAATCGTAGGGATTATTACTTATCATGTTCGCAAAAACTTATCTATCATGTTATTATTATTCATAAAGTTTGTAAGGAATTATCTAAATGATGTCAGGCTATGCAATTAAAGGATTAGATAATCTGTTAAAAAGACTATTAGAAAAAATAAAAAATATTTTTTCTCAATTAGAGATTATGGATATATCATATAAGGAATATGATAATTTTAAAGAATTATATGACAATTATATTACAGATTATGCTAATTTATTAGATCAAAAGATGGAACTATATATTAAAATTCGAAATGAGAGAAATAGAAGAATTTTGGAATTATCCCAATAAATTAGGATATTTTGTGCAAAATATGGCAAGCCATTTCATTAAGGGTACTATAGATATTTTGGCAAGAATGAATAGTGATAGGCCATTTAAAAAAATCTTCCAGATTTAATACACTAACTGAACTAAAAGTAAATTTCCAAGTCATGCCTTAATAATTGTGCTATTTTGAAATGATTGTATCTGATTTTTCCCAAAGAAAAACAGGAAGAAATAAATGAACACACAGTTCTTTAAAGGCCTTTAGTAACAAGTGGATCGCATTGGATAACACCATATCTTCTGCTAAAGTTCCTGCACAAAGAGAAGCTAGTAAGCACTGTTGAAGACTTGGAGCAACAAAAAGAAAGCTTGCTATAAGACAGAAGGATTTAAAAACAAAAAGAACTTACTTTGTTTCTTTTCGTACAGTTATACAAGTGTGTATCAATGCAGGTCGAATATCAGGTGAACTGTCAGCTAACCGATTGACTGGAGGTTGTATATAGGCTGTTTGAAGCAGCAATTCACTGAGTCGGCTGCCAACCTGAGAGTTAGAATAACTGCACATTTAGTTTGTAAGAAAACTGTAAACTCAATGCAATGTGATATTTTTTTCAATATTTTTATCATTAAACAACTCTTAGTTTGTAAGAAAACTGCACCTTTAACTAGTAGCCTCACTGCTCGCAACTTTTGTTTTTTTCATCAAATTATTAACAGCCTTTCACAAATTTTCTTGTTCTTAGTCATTGCCATCAGAACCACCTCCTTCCTGTTTTGTCTCTTTAACTTTTTCCCTCTCTGTTTTCTTCAAGAATTAGTGTGTCCTAACCTGATCGATCACAGAAATTGTTAGAAAACTAATTAAAAAAAAGCCACCATTACAACCAACCATAATTAGTATACTGCTTTAAAGCAACATCCAAAACATAATTAGGATACTGCCATACGAATCACAAATCATGCCCATCTTATTAACATAAATGGCAACATTCACTTATTAGAATGTTGCAATAGACACTTTTATCAACATTTAATTAATAAATGTTGCCTTTTGCATGTTGTAAAAAAGACATTTTTGTTGTAGTGATTATACTTAGAGATGTAGTCGGGATTTTCATTTAATAATGGCTGTGGGTCACCGTTTAAGTGGACCAGACATGTATTCTATGGAATGGATTGAAAAAGAGTGGTTTGATTTACTCTATGGAGGGAGTGATTTGAATTTTAAATTGAAAGCTCAGCTCTCAACATCATATAACCTCTCACCATTTTTTTAAAACTATTCTAAACGGCCATGGCCCCGGAGGGGGGGGGGGGGGTC